CGTCCGCGCCGCAGTCTCTCTCGCCCGCTGCGGCGGGACTCCGGGGAGCTTTCTCCCCACCACCACCACCCCCCGGGGAGCCAGCCCCCCACGCGTGACGGGCCTGGCGTCGCCGGGAGCTGCGAGGCGGGCCTCCCCAGGACCGTGGGCGGAGACGGGACACGGCGTGCGCACCCACGGGCGGGCTCGGCTCCACGCGGCGGGACGCGCGGTCCCGTTAGCCTCCCGGCGGGTGGGTTCTGGTGGGAGAGGAGCGGAGCTGGGGGGACCCCCGATGATGGGGTGGTCAGTGGTGGCGGAGATGCAGAAGAAGGGAGACTGCGTGAGGAGCACACGGTCGGGGGAGTGGGGGAAGTCAGCCTCTGTTTCTGCGCACTTGGGGGGGGGGGAAGGAAAAAAAAAGCAGTGCGCCAGAAAGAGGGCTTTCTTTCTATGCAGGATGACGGAGTTCTGCCTTTTACATTTGTTTGGGAAACAGTTTTCTGAATTGCAGCAATGAAGTCCTGTGATTTACAGGAGCTGTCCGTCATTTAATCTGCATCATCCATGTTTTGTTGCCAGTTCTTTATAACGTGCTCCATTAAAATGTAGACGAGATTAGCCGTGTTGAGAGTTGTCCCTGCCTATGATTTTCTGTGAATCATGTCACTGTGTTTTAAATGTGAACGTAAGTAGATTTTTTGGGTTTTTTTTTTAACTTTGCTTTACACAAATTCTAAAGAGCATTGCTAAGATTGTGTGATACCAAATGTATTTGAAACGATTTCAAATGCTCTTTCATAGCCGGTAGCTTCTGGCAATTTCATTTAAAGACCACTGAGTTTGTTTTTTGTTTTTAATTAAGTTACTTTGATAGAGCAAATGAATTTGCCTTGATGGACAACGTTAAAAACACAGAAGTCAAATAATTTGAATTTCCAACAATAACTATAATAGTCCTTAGTACTGTAGAATATTCACCTTAATTATCTCTTTAAACAAATTATGTAAATGCACGAAATAGCAATTTGATCAAAAGGGTGTTTTCCTTTTTCTAAATATGTTTCTTCAGAACCTAGAAGAATGAGAAGTTTGTATCTTGCACATTATTAAAAAATATGTTGTTGCTGAATTATTCATGGGATCTGCTTGTGCAAGATGGAGTCCCCTTTCTAGGTTGGTTTACTTGGCTTCCTGGGCCCGTGCTGCCTGCTGCGCCTCTGCAGTTCAGTCAATCAGAGCAGTCCTGTGGCTTAGGTAATGCTGGCATCCCCATTACATAAGAGGAAACCCCGAAGAGGAAGAGGTAAACTAAATATTTACACAGCACTATGGCTGATGAGTCCTGTCTGCCGTTCAGTCCAATTATATTTTATTCCAGAGCGCCGTTCCCACTTTACCACCTGTATCCAGTCCATTGAACCCATGATAGTGTCCATCATTGTTGACCCGTAGGTTCAGCCGCTTTTATAGTGTAGTTGGGACAAAAATGACACTGTCGTGGGGCATCTTCATTCCCGCAGATTAATCCCTGCCGGCCCGTCGTTGGTATGGAGTGCAGAGTAAGGACTTAAAGTACGCGTGGATCCCTCCCCTGCTCAGTTTCCCCTGATTTCTCAGCTAAGGAGAAAACATCCAGAGTTTACCATGACCCGTCAGGCCCCAAGTGCTCTGCTCTCCTCGTGTTGCTGGCCACCCTCACTTCATGGGTTCTAGTCTCCCCAGGACCCACCTTGACCTCTACACCTGCTTGACGTCTGTAGGGCTCTGGACTTGGAATTCCCCTTGGAAAGCTCTTCCACTCCAAGTCTCATGCCACCACAACTATTTGTTAGATTTTTCTCACATGCCATGTCAGATCTGTGGGTCAGTTTGTTTACCATCAGAGTAAAGACTTCACTTTGTTCTTTTGAGAATTCCTAACCCCCACAACAGCACATGATGTTTGTAGGCTTCTGTGACAAGCAAGTTCAAAGAGGAGTGTCAGGTACTTGTTGCATACCAGAGCTCCAGATTCTTACCTAGATTGTTTCTTTCAGGACTCACCCAACATGTCAGGGAGGCCTGAGTAGCCCTATCTGAGAGATGAGGTGATTGGCTGCCTAAGAACAGCTTGGCAGCTGGTGGAGGGCTGTACCAGTGCACATGCTGTCTTTGGAGCCACTGCCCTTTCCCAGGCATCCATCCACAGGAAAGATCCCGCCTTTATCTGTCCTACACTCCTGTTTCCGCACATTGTGGACATCTTATAATATTGATCACTCAAAATGATGAATGCAGTGTAGACCACAAAGTTTGTTGGGATGTGCAACTTTCAACCTTACCATTTTAACAATTATTACAGATCTTTTAGTTCTATTAGTACAAACATATCTTCTTCATAGAGTATTCAAAATGAGCAGGATAAATATACATGATGCTGTGTGTACACAGGTATGTGAAGATCCTTGTCATAGCTATTTCAGTGAAAAAGCATGTCATCTATTTTATTGACACTAAAATTGGCTCTTCATTCTAACACTGTAATTAGCCAGGAGTGGAAATGCACTTTCTGTTCTCTTAGTTTCATTGGCCCTACCAGCTTGCTGCATTTCTTGACATTTAAAATAAAAACTTACAGTATCCAAGCACTTCTGTCTTTATCACCATGGCGTCTTTACAAGAGCTAAAAAGTATTTTAAACTTCAGATTCAATGTTTGATGCCTTGGTTCCAATATTCTTTATAAAAAATAATTTAAATTTCCATTAAAGGGATGGGGGAGTCTAGGTATGTTAGTATACTTTACAGAACTTTTGAGTGTCCTCTTTCATTGTTGAAAGGTTTATCAGATACTATTGGAAACATCGAAAATGATCTGGGACTCTGGTGAACTTCAAATGTCAGATAACTATGTAGATTAGGGCCTTGAGGGCTGTTTTTGTTGTTTGGGCGGGGGGGGGGGGGTGTTTTGGTTTTCAGCATGCCTTCTTTGCACTGAGGCATGTTTGTGTCTCTGGTAAGATGGGAAGCTCGGGCCCCCTGAGCTGCTGTAGAATGATTGTGCCGCCTTTAGACCCCTAATGTGTCCCTTCCAGATGTAGCACCAGCATCCAGCTTCCACCCCTGCCCAGCAGTTAAATATTAACTGGTAGTGTAAGGTTTCTGCTCATCTGACCCTGTGGAGGTAGAAACACTCGGGCAGGATGCAGGCCCTCCCGCTCTGTAATCTGACCTTCATTCCACGTTTAAACAGATCTCCAAGGAAAAAATAACTGTTAATTATAGGACTGCGAGAATGAGCTTCAGATGCACTCTGTTTTGATCGGTTCTCATACTGACTCACGGCATTAATTTCAGTAGTGCTTCTCTGGATTGGGCTAATTTCATGCTTTTTTCTCTTCAGGATCTAGGTCCCTCAGAATGAGTCAGTGGGGAGGTTATTTTAGCATGTTCGATAGATACCATTTGGTTCCCAGTGTGTTAATGTTAAACAGCTCATGTGGCTAAACACTTTATAAGCAAAGGATATAACTACTCCTGTCATGCCCAGACGTTTAATCAAATGCCATTATCCTTACTACAACTTAGAGGCTGAATGTATTTCTCTAGTCATTGTGGCATAAGTGACTTCTAAACTGGGTTCCCCGAAGGTCAGTGAGGGACGGAAAGGAGCCCTCTGGGGTGTCCGGCACTTTGGTTATTTCAGTACACTGCAGCCCGAGTTGATAATTGCCTCCCTTTTACAGTGGAAGACAGTGAGGCTCAGAATGACTGGTCTCTCGGTCCGTGAGTCCTGGAGGCAGGGTTCTCGTCAGACCTTCCAAGTGAGTGACTAGACGTGCAGCTGGCCCTTCCATAAGTCAAAGCCAGATGCCTAGAAGCCATGGGCTCTTTTTCTCAGTACGTTACCCTATCACTGATGTGGGATCTTTCACGTATGAAGCTCTGGTCTCTAATAGTGCTGGTGTTGTACAAAGAAAATGAATCTGCTCGTGGCTGCTGGGCCAAGGAGAGTCAAGTGTGGTTACCCATGCTGCATTAGATAGCCCCCACATGAGAACACAGGCAGTGTCGACTGGACTTGATAAGTTATTAAATAAAAGAGGAGACATCAAGGGGAGAGGAGGCCATGTTCAGGGAGTCAGTGAAGAATGCAGTGAGGTGGATAGGATCAAGATACATTGTATAAACTGGGCGGTGATGGCCCACGCCTTTAATCCCAGCACTCTGGAGGCAGAAGCAGGCAGATCTCTGAGTTCAAGGCCAGCCTGGGCTACAGAGTGAGTTCCAGGACTGGCTCCAAAGCTGCACAGAGAAACCCTGAGGGGGGGGGAGGATACATTGTATACACATATGAAATTTTGACAATAAATATTTAATATATACATAGCTCTCTGTGTGTGTATAAAGAAAGCCCTTAGGGTTCCTTCCTCACAAAGCCTGAGCCAAGGACTCCTTGTATCTGCAGGCTGGACTGGAGGAGCTCTGGTTTCTGGCTCTGGATTGTCTTCACCGGGAAGAGCAGATTGCTGTTGTATAGTCTGTGAGGTGGCCCTCTAAGCAGATGACAAGAGATGCATTTAAAGCCATCAGCAGTCAGGCTGAGGACAGAACTCGAGCAGAACAACCTGCCTCCTGGGCAAGAAGTCCTGGGTCCCATCCCCAGCACTGCAAAAACAAACATCTTTAGGTGTCCAATTTTGTACTCCAAAATCGTTTTTAAGATATTTAACTGTTTTCATTTCCCTTAGATGTGTAATACTTAAGGCTGGAAGCTTTATATTTTTACATTTTCCAAAAACAAATTTCCCACCCAACACATCATAACTTTATAGCGTAACTTGGTAACAGTGGAACACTGAGACCCTTCCTGAAGAAATCTACTGCAGGCAGAACAGAAGGACCCCTTGAAGGCGGGAGCTGAGCTTTGCTCCTGCTGTTCCCTTCTTCACAGAGAGCCCACTTCCAACAGCTACTCTGAGTATCCTTCTAAGACCATGTAGACAAACTTGAAATGAGGGTGCTGGGGGGGTGGGCAGCTTCCGGGAGTCCAAAAAGTTTCTCTGCCTTCACTACAGGGAAATAGAAGGCCTGAGAGTTGGCTCCATGCGTTCAGTATTTGCAGGGATTTTCAGGGCTGGGGATCAACTGTTCTACCAATGGACCAGACCCCCACTCCTTTTTATTGGGGGGAGGAAGGGTGGTGCACTCGTGTACCATGTGTGTGGGGTAAGAGGGTAGCTTTGAGGAATCTCATCATCTTCCTCTTGAGGCAAGGCCCCCCTTGTTTTCCCTGCTGGCTCTCCAGGAGAGCTCACAGGTTTGCAGGCAGTACCTTCCACCTTCTATCTGCTGGGACAAGTACTAAGATTACAGATGCAGGCTACACTAGTCAGCTTTTTTTTTTTTTAAATCTGGATTCCAGGGATCAACTCAGGTCATGGGGTTTGCAGGGCATGTTCTTTTCACACTATCTCCCCACCCCACCTTCCTTTTTATGAGACAGTTTCCTTAGCTCAGGCTGGCCTTGGTCTTCCAGACAGGCCGCACACTGGTAATCCTGCCCCTACCTCCCAGTTGCTGGGATGAGAGGTGTGTGTCCCATCCCTAGCCCGATTCAATGATTCTTTGGAATATAAGAGATTTCTCTTAATAAGAAATATCTGTGGTCCCCCTAAATCTGTAACAGCTCAGAGATAAGTCACCTCTGATTTCAGCATTAAAGGGGAACTGGCTGGTGTACAGTGGTAATACTTCCCTGTTACTTTCCCTTTATAATGTGTTTGGCGGTTGTGAGATGTCATAGGGGTGCTGGGAACCACCGGGTTCCCTGAGAGCAGCAAGTGTTCTCAACAGTCTTCCCAGCCCCCATTATTATGTATTTGAATATAAGATTCAAAGCAGTTATTCACAGCCCTGATACTTATTCAATACAGCTGTATAAGCTTTCCAATGGTGGTGTTTTGTTTGATTTTTGAGACGAGGTCTGTAGCCAAAGCTGCCTAGCCTAGATCAACCTTGAACTCAATACAACTCTTCTGCTGAATTTTGAAAGATTGGCATACCACTCTTTGCTACAGGCTGAGCCATGCAGTATATCCCATCTCCCTGTACCCCCTGGCTCTTCCTGTAGTCCTGCAGCCTAAGGTAGAATCTGCCTTCCAGGGCTTGGGGACATGCTCATCCTAGCATTCTTTAAAAAGTTTTTAGTATTACCTCTTTGTATCAGTCTCTACATACTTGGAAAACTATTTTGTTTGTATGTCCATTAAACCTGGATTTACTAGGTTTTACAAATTACAGTGAAGGTAGATAATATTTTGTCAAAAGTATGAACAGTTTCTTTAGGTACATATCCCAGTTTAGAAAGAAGATTAAAGAAGGGCCCTTACCCTACTCCAATGGAATGTGGAAACCTTAACCCTTCAGCATTGTCCTCTGCTTCTCCCAGGTTAATACTTGCAGAAATGGGTTGTTGGTAGAGTTAAATACTAATTAACCACCACAGTGTGTGTGTGTTCAGCAGCCTGCAGCCCTGCCTTAGCGACCCTCATCCCCCTGCTGAGCCACACCCTGGTGCCAGCATCTACCGTTCCCTCATCCTTCTGTCCAGGCCAATCATCAGATATGTACCGTTATATAAGTAGACTTTAAGGGCCACCAACTTAAATAATCATCACTAATTGCACCGTGGTTCTCGGAACAGCTGTGGATAGCATTGTTTCTGCATGGAAATAAGACGTGGCATGGGAAAATGAGTAACACTTTCTGTCTAACAGTTCCTCACTGTGTGCCCTCTATTTATAGTGTGGGTCTGGAATTAAGTAGCAGTGAGAAACGGCAAGCTCCAACTGTGGCAGACAGTGGGATGGGGTGGCACCCGTGGAGTAGGATTCTGGGTCCAGAAGCAGCTGTCTGGGGATGAGGATGACTGTGGGGCGGAACTAGGAAAAGAAACGACTCAATTGTGAAATCAGGACCGAGATGAAGGAGCAAGGGGTTTAAAGACAGGCTTGTAGCTCTCATCAGCTGATGTCCCTCTAGTTCCCCTCCGAACAGCGAGGCAGGCCGCTGGCAGGCAGCGACAGTAGACCTTTCCTTGTGCCAGGTTCCTGACCTCTGTGGCCCAATGGCCAGACTTGACTTTCTCTTCTCCCTCAGCTGACCAGGTTTCAACACTTCAGCTGGGCCTGTGCCTAGCTTCATGAATAGTATTGGCCCCAGCCAGGCTCTGACACTTCTCCAGCTGGGGGCAGGGCGCAGACACTAAGTCTGAAATGGGGAGAGGTAGCAGCCAAGTCCCAGCCGCTCAGTAGTGAGCGACACAGGGGTGAGGAGGGCTTCCATGGTTTGAGCTCCTCCCTCTGCACTGGACGGTAACACTGCAGCCCACAGCACCTCCATTTGCCAAGTCCTCAGCACTGCTTGCCCCCGGGTGATGTGGGTGTACTGCCATCTTTAAGCCCTGATCCATAAGGCAAAAGTCTTGAAATGTTCTTCCCAGGGAATGAGTGTGTCACCCAGCCCACGGGTCCAAAAAAAGCAGCAGAGGAGGGCCCAGGTTCAAATCCCAAACTGATGTGTGAAAAGTGGCAACATAAATATATCAGGGTTACACGCGTGCATGCCTCTGTTTCCCATTGCTACCTAAAACACATACAGAGCAGCATTAGGGATTTCTTGGAGCTCACAGTTTGAGGGTTCACATTACTGCAAGGCAGTCACAGCAGCGGGGAGTGGGGCCGCCGGTCCCAGTGCATCCACAGTCAGGAAGCAAAGAGGGCTTGCCAGGGCTCAGCTGGCTGTCTCCTTTTTATTCAGTTGGTCTGAGAGCCCCAGCCCAAGAAAGGGTGCCACATACATTTGGTGGGTCTTCCCACCTCCATTAGCTCAATATAGAAATTCTCTCACTAACAGACAGAAATGTGTCCCCTCGGAAATTCTAAATCCCATCAAGGTAACTAGATTAAGTACCACACACTAAGTTTTCAGTAAGTATTACCATTTTATAAATCACAAGGGACCTGCATAAGTTCATATTGGTCAGCATGCATGTGTTTTGGAATATTTGTAAATATCTCTTCAGTACATAGAAATTTTATTCACACAGCCCAAAATCCACGATCATCATTTTTCTGTGGCTTCCAATTGCATAAACCACTTCCTACTGCTGATGCAGGAGGTAAAAGGTCCACAGCCTGTTGGGAAGGAGCTCAGACCCCTATACTGTCTGAAGCTACAGCTTCTCAGAAAGCCGGCCAGTTCTTTAACTCTCCACTACTAGGTGGGAGAAGCAATCTGCAATAGTTAGGTAGAGCCTCTGCGCCCCCACCACTGCCCTGGACGCAACTGCCAGTTCCTAGAGGGGTGGAGAAGATCGTATCTTCTAGAGAGCTCAGTAGGTAAGTGGACAACTGCCGTCCTCCAAGCTGTGCTGGGACTCACCACACCACAGTGTAGACGCCACAGGGGAACTGCATCACTGACCCAGAGGCCTGGGGACAGGAACCAGAGGTGACATGGAGACATCGGGCATGCTACCCTAGGCTTGTGATCCCAGTTCCTTGAGAGGCTGAGACAGGAGGACCAAGAGTCCAAGGCCTGTCTGGGCTACAGAGTGAGTTTAAGGCCAGCTGGGTAATTTAGATCCCATCTTGATCTTAAAAAAAAAGGTCAAGAATCTACCTCAGTGGTAAAGCGCCTGCCTAGCATGTGCACACCCTAGGTTCAGTTCCCAGTGAGGAGAGATGGGAGCCAGCTGCGGGCTGTCTTAAGCCAAGCCAAGATGTCTCTGGTCTCTACCCCTAGGAGCACAGTCCAACTGCAGGAGAGTGCCACAGCCCTTACTGCCCACTCAGCAAGCTGCTGCTTCCTTCTCACCAGACATTTGGTCAGCAAGAGCCACAGCCACTTTTTTTTAAATCAGATACAATGGGGGAGAAAATAGCTCTTCCTTTGAGGAACTTAAACATCTTAGAGTGAGAAAACAGGGAGATGAACACATAGTCACAGGCGGCTTCTGCAGACTCTTGTCCTTACATGGCATACGGCTCACTGTAGGTTCTTCAGATGTCCCCTGAGGAGCTCTTCATAGCACCAAATGGACCCCTGGTGCCTGACATTACAGCTTCCATGGCTCAACTACATGCCACCATCACTACCACCCATCTCCTAGGCCATGTGACCTGCAAAAGGAATTTACCACTGAAGCCAAAGGCATCATTTCAAAATGAAAGTCCGCACCATTAAACCAAGATACTGAAAAGGAAAAAGAAAGCACTCTCGAAGAGTGTGGCTTCCCAAGGAATCCCACACCCCACTGTAGCACTAACGTTGAACAAGCTTTGCATTGGAATCGTATGTTTTATTCACCAGAAGGGCCACGCTATCAACAGACCCTGGGACACCATCCAGTCTGTTGCAGCTGCAACCCTGACACCATAAGGGACTTCCTGAGAACTTTCCTCTATAGCTCAATTTCTGCGGGAGTGGTTTACGGTAACCCTTACACAGCACTTATGCAATAGTAAAGTCAATGCCCACAACACAAAATTTAAATGGCCTGTTTCATACCAGATTTCCCCATAGCAAAATCCTAATAATATTACAAGTTATCTCCACTCAGTTCCAACCCCCACCCCCACCCCCTTGGGCTTTCCTGGCTCTGGGCCTCAAGGTCTCCCCAGGTTGTCTCCTACTCTGTGTCATCATGGGGTCCCAGTATTGGTGCCCATCAGGCCTAAGGTCCCAGGACAGGCTACCAAAATGGTTGCCAGTTACTCTAAGCATGAAGCTTGCTGATTTAACATGATGGGACCCCTTACCCTGTATGCACATCAGCACTGTTAAGATGTAACCCCCGTGAACCTCGTTACAGCTGACTGCCAATCGCACTTCCTGAAGGTAAACTTGGATAGCACATTGTAGACATAGTTTGCTTGAATTTGATTATTATTTGCTCTCCACCTGACATAGGATTCTGTTGTCTAAACTTGGTCTTGACAACGTCCATTCAGGACGTCATTATGGCGAAGGGAACCGCAGAGGAAGAGGAAAGCGCCCCAGAAAGAGCTGAGACAGGCAGAGCACCCCCCACCTCCTTTGCTGGGAAATAAAACTGCAAGCAGTTTGGGTGGGGTCTTTTGTTTTTTTTTTTTTTCCAAAGGTCCAAACACCATGAGACCACTTCTCAGCCAGGAGCTCAGCGTGAAGCTCCTCCACCCCTCCGTGTGTGCACGGCTGGGTCCTCCACTCCCCCGTGTGTGCACGGCTGGGTCCTCCACCCCGTGCGTGCACGGCTGGGTCCTCCACTCCCCCGTGTGTGCACGGCTGGGTCCTCCACCCCGTGCGTGCACGGCTGGGTCCTCCACTCCTCCGTGTGTGCACGGCTGGGTCCTCCACCCCGTGTGTGCACGGCTGGGTCCTCCACTCCTCCGTGTGTGCACGGCTGGGTCCTCCACCCCGTGTGTGCACGGCTGGGTCCTCCACCCCGGGTGTGCACGGCTGGGTCCTCCACTCCCCCGTGTGTGCACGGCTGGGTCCTCCACCCGGTGCGTGCACGGCTGCGTCCTCCACTCCCCCGTGTGTGCACGGCTGGGTCCTCTTGCCTGTGCCCCGAAGTTCAAGGCAGCACTGTAGAGCTACAGTCTCGGGGCCTGTTTGGAATCATGTGCAACATCTAGTTCATTGAAGAAGAAAAAACCCTGATTTCTGCATAATGTTGGGAAACAGTCCTTGTATCTATTATTTATTCTTAATTGTAATTGAAGTAAATTACTAATTAACTTCAGAAAAACTGAAAATAAATAAATATCTTTTTTAAAGGATGGGACACTGTCTTTGCCCTCAAGAGTCAAATGGAGACAGTGTAGTAGCCTGCTCCTGTGATCCCAGCACATTGTAGGCAGGGGTAGGGCTATCTAGAGTTCAAGGTCAGCCCACCTCAAAAAGCAATACAAAACCAGGCGGTGGTGGCGCACGCCTTTAATCCCAGCACTCGGGAGGCAGAGCCAGGTGGATCTCTGTGAGTTCGAGGCCAGCCTGGGCTACCAAGTGAGTCCCAGAAAAGGCGCAAAGCTACACAGAGAAACCCTGTCTCGAAAAACCAAAAAAAAAAAAAAAAAGCAATACAAGAGACAAATAAAGAGAAGCCCTGGATCTTCCTGCTAATTAAAACTTACAGCCTATTCCACCTGTCCTGGTGTGCTTCATAGCCGAGGGCCACGACCCCACAGTCCAAACCACTCTAGGGCCCGTGCTCACCCTGGGCAAGACACACACTGGACACACATTCAGCCCTCAGTGTCTTTGACCCCAAACTCTCACAGGGTACTTGCTTGACACCCTTCCGCTCTAATGTAACCTGCACTGCGATGGGAGGTCAGTGCGGGCTCTGTTGGAATGCCTGCGGCTGTCTCCGCATGCATCCACTCAGTGATCTCCAGAAATCCACCCGTGTCTACTACAGACGTCTACTGTGCCCAGGGAGCTCTCAGCCAGCTGCCACCTGGCCCTCCCTCTCCACCTCCGTAAGACCCTGCAGCCCTGCAGCCTCCCCAGTTCTGCACCAGATCGCCTCTCCTCAGGCTGCCTGCAGAGCTCAGCTCAGCTTCCACAGCCTCATCCTCATCCCTGCTGCCTCCAAAACAAACACAAATTAGCCAAAGGACAAAGGCGTTTCCGTGACAGAAAGGTCAGAGCTTTAGAAATGACCAAGCCTGGGAAAATCACAAGGTTGCTGAAGGGTCCGAACCCCCCAGCAGTGGTTTCCCGAGGCTGTCCTCATTTACAGTTCAGCAGAGACCTGGGTCAACTGCTTCCAACCTTTCCTAAACATTCTTACCAATCTTAAGTATAAGTCCAGGCTCCAGGCACCACCTTCTCTGTTCTTGGTTTTTGTCTACTCTTGGGGAGCCTAAGCTCAACCCCTGACATCCATTCTCCTGCCCCTCAAAGGGTCCTCTCTCTCTTGGGCATCTCTCTTGGATGTCCTGATTGATGTAGTGGGTAGCTGTTCCAGCTTTGACCTAGAAGTACTACCCTCATTGAGGCTTCCAGTAACTGTCACGCCTACGAGGCAGGGCTGAGACAGGAGCCCTTAAGACCTAAGATCCAGCTGTGCCGGCTCTCTTGGTTCTTGGATCCTGGATGCTGGAGGTAGACCAAGCAGAGTTCTCCAGAGAACACTGCTGGACTGCACTTCACCTCTCCGGGACCCTGTAACCTATCCCTTCACTTGTAAGTTACCCCACAAAATAAACCTCCCTTCTAACTATGTGGAGTTGCCTTAATATTTCCACCAATATCCTGACTTTTCATTTCCCACCATGTCTCTCAAGAAGCACCTCACATCTGGTGTCTTCGGAAATTGTCCTAACTACAGCTGTTTGAATGAGCTCTCTACCATAGGCTCAGGCATTTCAATACGCGGCCCGTAGTTGATGATGCTGTTTGAGGAGGCTGAAGAGTTTGGGCCTTGTTGGAGGAGATGTGTCAATGGAGGTAGGTTTTGAAAGTTTAAAGACTCTATTTCCAGTTCTCTCTCTCTGCTCTTTGCTGTCAGTTCAAGATGTGAGCGCTCAGCTTCCTGCTCCTGCTACCACACCGTTACTCCACAATCATGGACTCTGACCTTCTGGAACCGTAAGCCCAAATAAACTCACCTAAGCTGCTTTGGTCATGCTGTTTTACCACAGCCACAGAACATAACGAAGACACTGCCCCTCCCTTCTCCCTCTTGGGGAAGGCCTCATTTAAGAATCTTCCACGTGCTTTTCCAGTTTCTACTGGGTGCCTATCTATTCTTACATAGCCTGTCACTGGACTTACGCTGGCCCCGAGAGGTAAAATGGCATGATGACCTAAGGCTCTGTCCCCTTTGTGTGACCTTGGGCAGGCAGCCTGGGCTCAGCAGTCCTCATGTTTCTCAACTACAAAATAGGAAGGCCAGTACCATCTATTCAGAGACAGTGGTGGGTGCCCAGAACCACATAACCAGGCACGGTAGCACAGACCTAAAATCCCAGCTATTAGGGGACAGAGCAGAATCACAAGTTCAGGATCATCCTTGGTTACATAGAGAGGTCATGGCAAGCCTGAAATGCATGCAACTCTGTCTTACAATAAAAATAAAGGCCCTCTGCCTCTGTGTACATATGATGATTCTTCAATACATACTGGCTTCTACTGTAATTCTTACTAACATCTAGTTATTACTCTTAACCTGGGATGCCCATGGGATATTGGTGGAAGTATTACTTGGCTCCCCTTGCCAAGTACAGTGGGAAACATGAGCATTTAGAGATGAATGCTAATCTGTACCTTCAAGAAATTCCCCAGTTACTAAAGGGGTGAGCACCAAGGAATGGGCTGCCTCTCAATGGGAATATGCTTGGGGTCTTTTTTGTTTGTTTCTGTGAGATAGGGTCTCTCTATGTATAGCTCTGGCAGTCCTGGAACTCTCTATGTAGACCAGGCTGGCCTCTAAGTCACAGAGATCTGCCTCCCGAGTGCTTGGGACTAAAGGTGTGCACCACCGTGCCTGGCCTATGCTTGGCGACTTTGGGGGACACTGGACAGAAGCAGCTACCTCCACCAGTGAGTAAGAGAGGAGGAAGGTTATGCAGAGAAAGTTTCTAAAGTTGCTGCCCTGAGCTAAACAGGAGACGAGAGGGAGCTGCCTCTCACAAATGGAGGAAAGGACACCCTACAGCAAGACAAGGCATGCCCTTAGTGGTATGTGGCTGCCTCACCAACTCCCGAAATATAGTTTGTGCAGATTGTCTCCATAGGCTGTCGTGGGAAAAGGCCCTCTGGAGCCTGCGCCCATGGTTGTGGCTCAGTTTTAAAGCTCCACCTCCAGATGAGCCTTCCTCTGGGACACTGTGCATGAGGCGGGAAGCAGGACGGACGGCATGACTTCCCCTGGTTGAGTGCTCCTTCGGAGCCCGGCACTCCCACACCTTCCTAAACTTCCCTTAGTGTCCCCAACAGCAACTCCATGTCATCAGCTCATCCTCTGTCAGATCCTGGCTCCACCAATTTCTAGGTCTGCAGGTGAATGACCTCTCTGACTCGGCTTCTCCCTCTCCCCGGGAGGGTGCACCCCACACACTGATGTGGGGCGGTAGATACTGTGAGGGGGTCTATGGGAACCGTCACAACAGTGCAGGAGTGCAGTCACGGCTGGGGTGCTGCAGCAGCATGGGTGAGGAGGAGAGGGGTGATAACTTGGTGAGCTTTATTCCGCTTTCCTCCCGGACACCACGCCTCCATTTCACACCTCCCCGGAGGCCGGGCATGGCCATGTGATGGGTTCCAGTCAACAGGATATGAACTGAAGTGGTAGTGCCCCTTCCAGGTCTGGCCAGAGCCCTCATCCCCCTCCCCATCGTTGCCTGACTGGTTTCAGCCAGCTGGGAAGAGGAGCCTTGTGGAAGACATGGGTCCCACAAGTGACAGCATGGACAAAGGCCATCCTTCAGAATGCTCCCTGGCCATGATTCCCAAATAAAGTTTTGTTGTAGCTACGCAAACACACAGGCCAGGGACAGATATCCTGAGCTGAAGGAAGGGCCAGTGCTGAAATGGAGTGTGAGTAATACGGTTGTTATGTGTCCAGCATGCTTCCCATCCTTCGCCTTCCTATAACAAGAGTTACCTCCCCACCCCCTTTCTGCTGAATGATTTTGGTGACCTACTGCCACAGTCACCAAATTGACCAGGTGGTCCACGATAGGTGGAGGGGTGCACACCACTGGTCACACTGACTGGTTCAAGGATAGCTACTACCTGACCCACCAAAGCAGACTAAATCGAGCACCCTGGCAAGTGTTGTTGAAGCTGGCTGTCAACAGAAAACAGGACCTCAGAGTTTACCAGCTTTGTCCAGATAGCCCTCGATCCCCGGCCTCTGGCTCAGGCACGGTGCCCTACACACACTCACACACACACACATGCACACACACACACACACACACACACACACACACACAC